AGTTTCTAATCATGATTTTCATTTTGGTTACCATCTCTGTGGTTATCTGGGAAATTATTTCTGTTTTGAATTTTTCTAGAGCCCGATGGATCTGTTTTGTTGCTATGAGTTCAAGGTGTCAGACTTTTGATCCTCATTTGCCCTACTGTATGCCTTTGGTGAACTGGAAGTCTGTCTTTATGTCTTGCTTAAGTGTTTTCTAATTTTTATTTTTGTTGTTGGGTTGTTCTTGCTTCAATTTCTGGGTTATTACTTAAATCTTCCTGATATAGTTGTGCTTTAGCTTTTGAGTCTCTAATGACTCTTAGACATTCTCATTTTCATAATATTAGAGAAAACAACTCATTAAATCAATCACAATCCTTTATCCCAGTTGATACAATCAGTAACACAATAGGATCAAGCACAACTTGCATATTGACCCCTTGTGGTAGTCAATAATCTATCACCTTTAAACCATGTGAATTAAATTAAAATCAAGAAGCAGCCCAAAATATGTTTGCAGTGAATAAACTTTTCAATATAGCATATTTACCATTTAGGATGGAAGCTTAGGCAGAGTTAGGTAGAGGGGAGTAGATAAGTGAAAGAATTGGAGAAGGTTTCCAGTGAAGCCTGAGGACACAGAATGACCGCACAATCTTTAGGAAACTGTTAAATTTAAAAGGGATAGACAGAATGCAAGTAGAAGGACAAGAATATATCCCCTTAACAGCAATAGGGGCTCACTTTCCCTTGAAACTATTGACCCTTGAGTGAGGTAGAATGACAGAAGAAAAGAACATAAAGAAAAAAGCAAAAATGATAAAAGAAGAAATCTGAGTTAGGGCAGGAGCAGGAACAGAAAGGGAGATGAGGGATAACATGGTGGAGCAAGAGATTGAGTTGTAGAAAGAGGGAAGAAAAAAGAATTTGCAGAGTGGAATGAGGAAAAGAAAGGAAAAAAAAAAGAATTTGAAGGGCCTCTTTCAGACTATGCCTCTGCTGTCATAATATACCACATGCACAGCCATGTGCAGAACCAAGTCCCCTGATCTCAGCTAGCCAATGGCAGACCCCACGGCTCAGACTGACCTCAGGCCGCAAAGCCCATATTGAGTCCCCCGACCTTCTTCAGGGTTGAATTCCACACTGTTCTACTACAGGTTTCCCTGAACTTTCTTTAAAGATGTTCAAAGTTTTGAGCTCAGAAAAATACCCTTTATGACCACCTATGCCTCCGCAGAGTGGATCCAAGGACTGACACAATCAGGAGGTCTGAGAGGGGGCAGTGTTTCAGGGGTACCCACCTGGCTGCCTTATTTGCTGGAGCTGGTGGCTGAGCAGGCAGGGGAGGGTGCGGCTACCCAGTCCCATGGATTGGGCCCAAGCAGGCTAGAGGGAGAGCAGATGTCAGGCAGCCTTCCCAAATCTCACCTTCCTTGTGCTGTATGTATTCTTTTCTTCAAAAAGAGCTCTTTTACTTTTTTCTTTCCTGTGTTTTTAAAATTTATTCATTCTTTTTTTTTGCTTAAACCTGTTTGTATCTGCCGTATGCCTGAGACTACTAGGCACTGAGTGCTTAAAGATAGTGTTCCGTCAGAAGTGAGTTTCCTGTGTACTTTGTCTATTTTGGAGGTGAGCATCAGTGAGTCTATCACCTGGGAAGAGTCAGGAAGGTTAGCCTGGGTCCACCAGTCACTGGTGGTCAGGAATTAAGCAAGTCAGCTGTGATCAGAGGGTATTTTCTTTACAACAGAGGAGTGATGGCTTTATGCCTGCCTCAGGAGGCCAAAGAATGCTGTGAGTTTTTATCTTTGGTGGCAGTGGTGGTAGAACAGCTTCATTTTTTTAAATCAAAAACAGTTATTGGTACATTTTAGATGTACATGGTGATAACATTCATCATAGGGAATTTGTACCTGTATATTATATATTTTGTTTCTTTTTTCCTCATTCCCCTCCCTGCCTTTCAACCCCTTTTCCCCTCCTTATTTATAAAAGCTTTGTTTCCATTTTTTTCCTGTCCCTTTTTTCCTTTCTCCATTCCCTGTCCATTGCTCCCCTTCTCATTTGAACATTTTCTTCCATTTCCCAACATCTGTTATACATTTTTGGATCCACAAATTCTGAGACAGATTTTACTCTGATCTATTTTTCTCTAACCATGTCCAGTATCAAAATAGTCTTCAAGTATCCCTTACAACAGGAAAAAGGAGCAAATTTAACTCTGATTCACACTTACAAGTGAAAAGTTTTGGGATGTGAAGCCTTAATTTAAACAGGGCCTTTGAGGTTACCCACCTCGAGCAAGCCCATTCTTCCTCATTTGTCTCTCGTATCTCCTAACACCACTGCACAAAATCCCAAGTGTGCAGTGTTAGCCAGGTAGGAGCAGCTTGGGTGCTCTAGTATTGTGTTCAGACATAGAACTTCATTGACTAGAAGCTGGATATTAATACAAAGGGAAGAAAGGAAGAAGATATCTCAGATAGTTTATCTTATTATTGCTCTCCTATTTTTTTAGTCTGTATTTTTTTTTCTTTCTGGGAAAATTTTAAATGTCATCTTCCAGTTCTTCTAATTTTTATAAATTTTCTGTTATAATATATTTTAATTTCCAAATCTCTCTGTATGTTGTCTAATACTAGCTGTATCTACATCTTTATCCATCACTGTGTGTATCATATCCTGATCTTGTGTCATAGATGCAAAACCTACTCTAATTGCTCTGGGAATATTAATTATCACTGTTTTAAGTTTTTTCTTTTTCTCTACTCATTGTGCTTGTTTTCTCAAGTTCCCTTTTTCCTGTTTGCTGAGGTCTCTGATTCATACTGTATGTTAAGTTTATTGACTAGAGTCTCACTGGATGGACAAGGTACTGACAGCTCGTGAGAGGATGGTCCCAGATGTTGAAGACCCCAGCAGATTGTCTTGGTCTCTGTTTGACTAGGTCCTTTCCTGAATGTATCAATCCTTAGTTCCGAGTATCAAAGAGGTCCTCACCTTTCTCTATCCTTTCATCTGTTTTTTCTTCTTTTCCTCTGCCCTCCCTCCCTCCCTCTGTTCTTCCTCCTCCTCCTCTTCCTCTTTCTCCTCCTCTTCTTCTTCCTCTTCTTCTTCCTCTTCCTCTTCTCCTTCCTCTTCTTCCTCTTCTTCCTCTTCTCCTCCTCCTCCTCCTCCTCCTCCTCACCCTCCTCCTCCTCCCTCCCCTTCACCTTCCCTCCCCCCTCTCAGAAATCCCAGCACTGGGAAGGCTGAGGCAGGATAATCACAACTTCAAGGCCAGCTTGGGGCATATAGGGAGCTCAAGGACAGACAGGACCATGTAGTATGAACAGTTAGTAGAGGTTTCAGATCACAGTGACTGGCTCCAAGGCAGGGTGGGATGGCATTGCAGAGGAGAAAGAGTTCATGGTGGGCAGAAGGTAGCAAAGCAAGCAAGAAAACCGGAACAGCTTCATTGAGAGAGACTGTTGACTCCAAGTTCCCCTCCACTTGTACCACTCATGAACTTTAACTCATAAAATGGTGCAAGACTCTCAAACCAGGAGGTCTTTATGGCCAGGCAGGTAACAGTGACCCAGTGACCTGGAGACTGACCAGTAAGAGCCTGTACTTCAGGAGCTGAGGATCAGCCACACCTCAGCTCCTCTACCTCTTAGCTCTGGACAGCTGCTGCCATGCAGGCTGTAGGTCCAATGTTGCCAAAACTGCTGTGTTTTATGTGGACATTTGGAATTTTGAGTATTCTGTGAAGTATGTAGGTAGGAAAGGTATTATTTCCAATTGTAACCTGTGACTCCAGGCTATGGAATTTAAGTGTCAGGCATGATCTTGTTTGGAAATCAATGTTAATCCAAGCTTCTGATTCAGTGGCACCCAAACCTGAATGGTACCTCCTGTTCTTGTAAGTTGTAGGACAGCATTTTCACCCAAAGACAATCTGTGTTTCTTTTCTTTTTTGCTCTTGGATGTTACTATACTTTGCAGAGTTATCTTGTTAAGGCACAACAGGTGTTGCTGAATAATATTTTCTGTTCCAGGTTATGATGCCTTAGTAGGTCTGTCTTTAGGGAGAAAGTTTGAACTTTGAGCTCTGAATGTATTGAGGTTATCTAGGACACCTTTTATCCTAATATTTTTCTTTCTTTTATTTGAATCTGTGTTATAGTTTAGATTTGGAATGCTCCCTCATCCCAAGGCCTCTGTGTTAAAAAGGCTGTGGTGCTGTTGGGAAGTGGTAAAACCTTTACAGTGTTGGGATCTGTCGATAGTAGTTAGGTCATTAGGGGGTATTTCTTTGAAGGGAATACAGGGACTCCATTGGCGTTTGGACTAGAGGCCATGTGTGTACATTTTGGCCGTGACTTTGTGGGAGACTAAGATTAAGGGCAGTGTATTAATTGAGCTGGTAGAAAAATTTTAAAGCAATCTTATATTTAGGCTATGGCATGGGTGCTGCTAGTTGTTTCTATCCAGACTTATGGTGAGAAACAGGAGCAGAAAGCAGAGCAAGATATTTCAAAACCTTAAATTTCCATCCAAAGGGAACTGCAGGTAAAGTTGGGGTCAAAGGGGGGTGTGGCCACTGAAGAGATCAGTATCATTAAAAAGAAACCAAATACCTGTACAAGGACAACAAGAAAGATATCTTGAGGGTATCTCAGGAATCAGTAAGACCCCACCCATCAAGGCTGAAATGGGCAAATGTGTCAGTCTTTCATTTGAAAAGATAGTCCTGGGCTCCTGCTCCCCAAGGCCCTACTGGGTTTGGATCCCCAGAATTCATTCATTGTGTTCAGCCATCCAGGCACTTAGAGGGCACTGTAGCCATCATCTGAAGTGGGCCTGGCTACTGCTGGCACTGGTAGCAGACTTTGGTATTGTCCATGTAATGCTGGTTTTACCAGCGTGTAGAATTTAATATTTGTGGGACCAGGAGGGCTCCCATCCAGATTTTAAAGGAGAACCTGGAAGATCGGGCAAGGAACCCTTGAGGGATGGTGCATTAAGCTATGGAAATGAAGCCAACAGTGCAGTCAAGGAAGTTGAAGATGCCAAGAATTTGGAACATCATGCTGTGAGTAGAGCCAGTCCAAGAGAGCTGCATTTGGTGAGGCCATTGAAATGGGCTCCCAAGACCTCTGGAACACATATATCATGAGTGTTTTAGCTGCCAGGTGCGGTGCTATAGGACTCAATGTTTGTCCTGTTGAGTTTAGGTCTTTTGGTCCAGTTCTTCTCTGTCTTCATATTCCTGCCTTTTCGTATAGGAATGTTTGCCCTATGCTGTTGTAATTTAGGATTATATAACTTGTTTTGATTTTTACAGAGCTTTACAGCTAAGCATTTGCCTCACAAGAGTTTGGACTTTTGAAATTTTGGGGAAGGGATTAAGTTTTAGTTCTACACAAGATAATTGTATTATGTGAGGAGGGCTTATTAACTTATTATTGTGTTCATTTAGAGAATAGGTATGGTTTAAGGAGATGTGTTTAAGTTCTCAGGTTTACAAGGAGTGGGATGTGATGATGAAGCTTGATCATCCTGATTGGCTTGGAATTTACCCAGGGGGATTGGTAGAGCACATTTCTGGGGGGTTATGGAGATGTGACTTTGTGTGCTATGTGGGGTCCCTGGCCCTTTCTTCTGTGACGCTGTTCTGTGTTCTGCTTCCTGGCTGCCTTGAAGGAAACAGCATTACTTTGCCACACCCTTCCCCTGCTGATGTTCCTCTCAGAGGCAGCAGACCATGGATTGGATTCCCTGAACTGTGAGCTAAATTAAATCGTGCATGTCAGGTATTTTGTTTCAGCAAATGGAAAGCTGGCTAACACACTCCATAATTCTTGATTTAATAAAACAGAGTTACTGTCTGCACTGGGCAGTGCCAAACCTCATTTAAGAAATCTGTGTTTTAAGATATTGATATGTCATATTTTTTTGACAAACATGCTATAAACTAAAATTAGTGTTTGTGATGCAAAATGCTTTTTGTTTCCCTCCTTGGATAAAGATCTGTGAGAACTCAGAGAAAGCAAGTGAGCAGCCTGTAAAGAGGAAAACTGGTACTGTTGGATGCTGCAACCAGTATGGTATCCCAGTCCTGCTGCATTCAGTTGTGCTCATTACCTTGCACACTATTGTTGTGACTTGGGGGCATAAATCTTATGGTGCTGGGAAAAGTAATTTCCATGTTAGTGTCATTCACTTGTTACCCTAGGAAATGAGCTAGCTCATGCTTAGGGACCTCTATTATGGCAGAATGCTCTTTTTTTTTTTTTTTTTTTTTTTTTTTTAATAGTTAAGACTGACTTGAAACTCACTATGTAGCCCAGGCTGGTCTTGAACTCACAGTGATCCTCCTGCCTCAGCCTCCCGAGTTCTGGGATTACAGGCATAAGCCACCATGCTCAAATAGAATGCTCTTAATCTTGGGGAGAAACTCATAGACTACAGCAAGGCACAAAGACAGAATATTTGGCTGATTCTGTAGGTACAGACTGGAGGTTTTATTTTGGTCAAGGATAATGCATCATTTCTTTCCTAAGAAGATACAGTCAACTAACTTTCTTTAGGTTAATAAGATTCTGTCAGTTCACCAGAGTCCATAAATCTATTAGACAGGTTGCTATCATCCTAATGACCACTGACTAATATTAAAATATGATGGTAAAGCTGAGTATTTGGGACCTTAGGAAGTAACCTGCTCTGTTGAATGATACTTGAAATTAAAAGTTCTTTAGCAAAAATGAAAGTCCTTATTCACCTCCTGTAGTCAGTGCTAGCACATACTCATGTGAAGCTGGTAGAATTGTTTATGTGGGATTAGCCTCAGTGCAATACAATAGTTTAACTCACTTGTGTTATCGAGAGAAGCAGAACCAATAAGGCACATACATGCACACACACACACACACACACATACACACACATACACACACACAATTTTATTCCCTGGACACTTCTCAAATACTTGAAAACACCACAATAATGTGCCAAGTTTCTGAGGCTGCTTTAAAGTTAAAATTTTTTTTTTCTATCTGTAAAAAGAAAGGAAAGGCTTGCTGTACATCTGTTTTTATCTCTGAGACATTCTCTTGGGAGAAGAGGACTTACTATTTCTTCTTGAGTTTACCCTGTCACCCTCAGCTCACCCTTATTCAGAGCTTATTTTTTAAGCAAAATATCTGTACTCCAGACTGAGCGCCTTATAGAGGAGACATCCTGGATTTAGGCAGTCCTGGCCAGCTGACAAGCCACATCAACATTTCACCTTGTGGGATTTTGCCAGGCAAACTAATTGCTGGCTGGCTTCCTTTCTTATCCTTTCCCCTCACCCTCCTTTCTATAAGTGCCCTGTGAAAGAAAGGCATTCTGCCAAGAAGTCCAAAGGCTGACATTTGCAAGTGGCGCTGCACTGAACTACATCCCCGCCTCAAAAGTTGACATTTTAATAGGGAACACTACGAATTCCCATAGAATGGGAATGTATTCTTATTCTGCTGTCCATAGTGACTTTGTCCCTGTGTTGGTAGTTGCTAAGGAGTTTGTGATTTGAGAGGCACAAAGTGGCCCGGAAGTGTTGCACCTGGTACAGGTCCTAAAACTCAGCCACAAAAGAACTGCTAGATTCCTGAAGCAGCTCTCAGCAGTTTTGCTGCACTGGTGTTAAATCAGATCTTTTCTCAGGCTTTGCCAGTCAAGGACCTCAGGCCGGCAAACCTAGAACCTCTTCTAGAAATACAGGCTCTGGGTTCCTCCACAGACCCACTGACGTGTGTGTGTACGTATTACTCTCTGCCCTAAGGAAATGAGAAGGTGAGTAACCTCAGCTGGCCACATTTGCTCAGGAGTTGCTTCAGTAAGCACGAGGACACATGCAGTGCGGAGCACAGAGTAATCATTTGTAAATTCAGGTGAGCTTTGCTTGTTAGTCTGGTTTCATGCTGGACTGTTGTGTAGTGATGTCCCTAGGATTTGTAGATCTTTTGAGTTCCAGTGTCCTTGCTGTTGGGCTGCTAGGTGAGGGTTCGTTATTGTCTGTATGTCCCTCCTTTCTGGGAATCCTGCAGATTTGGAAAGCAAATGATCAAATGTTTTGTAACTTCATTTTAAAATCCCTGTTTTTGAATGCAGGTTATTCCTATACCAAGCAGAAGTGTTTCTGAGCCTTTTTTTTTTTTTTTTCACTTTAAATCTTTTGGATTCTTCATGTTGCCAAATACCTGAATTTCAAATAGCAGGAGTGTGGCCATCATTCTGAAATTATTATTTAAAATTTTATCCCTTTACATTTTCGTACCGTAACCCTCCCTTTCCAATTTTCTTTATAGTATATTGACAGTTTCCTAAGTAAATGCTGTAGTCCTAAGTTATGTGTATTGAATTTATTCTATTTAGAAAGATAGGCACAAAACATGGAGTTATGGACTTGGCTTCTGCTGAGGTGAACCCATGGGAGTTTTTCATGCTGTGTCTTGGGCCATCAGTCTAATAGTCATGAAATTATTTTTAATCCTCTGTCTTGTGAGCCGGGTATGGGGGAGTGTATTTAAAGAACTCTACATGGGAGTAGACAATACTACTACCTTGTGTATTCTACTTGTCCACTCAAGCAACTTATTCTAATAACTTATGACAGCTCCTTCTTCGGTAGTTTGGTTTAAAGCAACCACTAAGCATTTATTTCCATTTCATTTAATAGTGTTTGTGCCAGTTTTACTGCCCAGATGAGATACTGTCCAAGCAGGTAAGGGAGGAAGGCAGCTCAGATGACAGGAAAAGGAACTGGAAACCAGGACAATTGTAAGGTTTGGGATACAAAAATATAAATCCAGATAAACGTAAATGCAGGTCTCATTGAATGCTTTTTCCTTATCTCATGGACCAGTGACTTAAAGTAATCACCCAATTAAGGATTGGCTGGTGCTTCTTTTCTTCACATTTCTGGTGGGTGGAGGTCAGATTCTTTTTGGTGATTGCGTTTGTAAATAGGGAGGCGATTTTGCTGGGTTAGTGAGCTGCAGTCCCAGGAGCTCAAATGTGGATCTGTTTTCAGGATGACGGATTCTTCTCTAATGTAAAAAGTCAGATTTCAATAAGAGTTTTGACTGCCTTCTTTCCAAAGCACCCCCCATTACCCTTCCGTTCTGCAGGAAAAAAGCAATTGAACTTGTTAGCAGTGTGCAGGGGTAGCATGGAGTGGACTGATAATGAGCAGTGTAGCCTCTCAGAAGCTGTAGCTTGTGGAAGCAGGCCCTCAGGAGGTTGTAACTATTAGAATGTTCAATTAGAGATGCCAGTAGCATTTTATTTCAAAGGCAGAATGTGTTAAGAAAATTTGTAAGAACAATTTATAAAACTAATTTTTCGTCCATTATTAAATCGTTGTGTAAAAGAGACTGGATAACTGATACTGACTTATCTTTATGTCTGATAATTAGGAAGCAGGGTAGGTAGATAAAAATCTGAGGTTCTTAAAATGAGAAGTAGTCTCAAAAGATTCAGTTGATGATTTCTTTTCAGATTGTAACTAAACAGACTGTACTGTGTTTATGTGTACAAATAGTGTTGAAATACTTCAAACGTGATTGTAGAAAATAATTTCTTGCTTAATTACGTGATGTTTTGTAACAAATTCGCATGATTTTTGAAAGAGACTTTTAGATAGGCCTGAAGGTTGGGATTAGTCTCTGATAAATATTCTTGCCAACATCATTGATATTCAGATATAAGAACTACTTAACTCTTAAAACAGTGGACTGGGCACCAAGTGGTTACAATTCTGTGATGCCAGTAATAGTGTAGAGTTAAATGCCAAATACTGAATAATCAGTGGTGGATGCCCAGCATATAACACATGCTGATTCAGAAAACATATATTCGTTTGAGAGAACAAATAGAATATGTGCCTATTTTCTTTTTTTTTCCCTTTTTTTATGTGTCTGTTTTAGAAGAGAAAGTAAACTTCTTTTTCATTGAGTTATTGGTACGTTTTAAATATACAATACAGTTACGTTCATTATTGGGAACTTGCTAATTGGTACTTTTTATCCTTTAGTATTCTGAAAATTGAAAGTTTTAAAACAACAAGAAGCTTTTTATTGAAGCTGGCGGTGGGCTCTTTTTATAGTACAGTATTTTAAGTGTCCTGATCTACATAAAATCATGAAATTTAATTTTGAAACTTACATGTATGTTATACTGTTTCTAAGCAAGCATACATATCATTTCATTAACCACATCTATGTTTGTTATTTCAGAAATATAAATAGGATTTAAACATTAGTTTAGCCATTCAGCTAAAGTTCAGATTTCAGTAATCCCAGTCCACAAAATCACAAATCTGAAATGGAAGGGAAACGAGGGACTTTTGCATGTCCTAAATACTGTTACAAATCCCAGCAAATTGCACACTTTCTAGGGTTGAAAATTTCAGCTTATTTTCAGCTTCCCTATTGTCAGTCATATGGCAAGTATGGGACATTTCTCTCATTTGAAACTGTATTATTGAGCTCTCTGTCACTATGGGAAAATGCCTGAGATAATCAGCTTTTAAGAAAGACTTACTTTTGGTTCACAGTTGCGGAGGTTTCTGTTGGTAGTTGTTTGGCTTGGTGCTTTGGACCTGTAGCAACACAGTACCTTGTGGCTAGAGTATGTGGCAGAGGATGCATGTTCTCCTGGTGGCTGGAAGCGGGCAGAGAGAATCCCAGTCTCCTCTATGAGCAGGTCTCCAGCAACCTGGCTGTTTCCCATGCGGCCTTCTAAAGGTTTCGCCCTCTCCCACTTAGTGCCAAGTTGAGGACCGAGCCTTCCACACATGGACCTTTCAATGATTACAAATCCTACCTGCATCAGAAATAATGTGAAAAGAGAAAAGGGAAAAATGGCTGGGGAAGGTGGCAGCGTGGTGAAGAATAGTGTAAAGGTATCCTTGTGTGCAATCTGGTGTTCTTTCTAGGATCTGCTCCTCTCTATTTTCGGAAAGAGGTTGGCCCTGCCAGCGTGACAGTCAGATTTTGCATTGTTGTTGCCTCTCTGACTGTAGGGGTGCTGGGTGCCCCCCAAGGGATGTGGAGGGTGATAGGCTAACTAGTAAGGAGAATGGCCACAGAAAACTCAGTCTGGCAAAGGATATGGGGAAAAGGGATTTCCCATGACAGGAGCACACAGAGTAGGCTCCCTGGAGGAGGTGACTTGGGATAGCCTTGATGAAACAGCATAAGTACCCTCATTTATGATTTTTTTAATGTTTTCCCATACCTAGATGATTCAAAATTGTAGGCCTTTTAAATTTCTTTTCTTTTTTTGTATCAGGAATTGAACTCAGTACCCTGCACTTGCTAAAAAACAGAGCTAAATCCCAGGCCCAGAAGCTGGTAGTTTTTGTAACTACCATTGTTGAATAATTTGTTTGAAGTTTGCCAACTGATTTTGACTAAAATAGGAGGGAAGCTTCGAAGACTAGTTTACAAAGAACACCATACTCTCATGATTTGCTGAGTAGTTCTTTAAAGGCACAAACATTTTCAAATGATAGTGGGCCACAGATAGAAAGTGACTCACAAATGTGTTTTGTTTAGGCACCATTATTTTAAATTTTGACAGTGAAAACTTTCCTTTCAATGTAGAGTACCAAATGTGTTTGAATGCACGTGTATGTGCCCACGAATTCCAGACATTCTCCTGCTTCACAGAATGTTTTGGTGCCGGGATCGAACTCAGGACCTTGTGCTTGCAAGGCAGGTGGCAGCACCACTGTGCTACATCCCTGGCCTTCAGAGAACTTTTTATTATGCCAGTAGTACAAATGGTAGGAATGATAATATATAAAGTGTGTATGATTAAATGAGGGTAGTTAGCATTGATATCTCCTTATATATTGAAAAAATGTTTATTAACATGTATATATTGGGACATTTCAGGGCATGTTTAAAGAATGTATGATCAAATTCGGGTCATTAATATTTCCATCTCTTTACCATTCCTTTGTGTTTGGAGCTTAGAGTTCTTGTACTCATAAAATTTGTAATAGGCTGTTGGGAGCTCTGGCTGCTCTACTGTACTATAGAGTACCAGGACTTACTGCCTCTCTCGGGCTGTGTTTGGGCATATGCTACCTCAGCCCCAACTGCCATCCTCACAACCGACTTTCTTGGCTAATGTGTTTCTGCAGTATTTACGATAGCTAGGACATATGTGTTAGTCACTTTGCTCTCTCATTGCTGAGACAAAATACCCCATACCCAAAGTGAGAGGGGACAGGGTTTATTTGGCTTATAGTTCATAAAAGTTTCAGTCCATAATCAAGTCAGGGATGACAAACAGGCGTGGCAGAACAGAAACAGCATGGCTTAGACAAGGCAGCAGTGGTAACAAGTGAAAATTACTGTTGTCCAGCTGCCTCTTTTATCTTATTCAGACTCCTTAGGGCAGGAAGCACTCACACCCTTAAGCCTAGTGCCCTTGAGCCTAGCCTTGCATCATGAATCTATTCCAGCCTCACACTCTAGCCTATGACCACGTGAGGATTTGGGGGACATCTAGACCCAAACCATAACAACATGAAATCAGCCCAGATGCCTATCAGCAGCTATCTGAGTAGGGAAAATGTGTGTAGACACCGCGGAATACTGTTCATCCGTACGAAACAGTGACAGTCTGCTATTTGGAAAATGAAGGGAACTGGGGAACATGCTGTCAAGTGTACTAAATCAAATAGAAAAACACAGTATGTTCACTAACTCTGTCTTGTACCTCTCTCTCTTTCTGGTGGTTCTGGGAATTGAACACAGGGACCTTTGCACTGAGCTCTGTCCTCAGTCCTTTCTTTTTTTTAAGACAGGGTTTCCCTAAGTCATAAAGTTGTGGATTTGAACTTGAGATCCTCCTACCTCAGCCTCACAGAGTCCTG